GTTCTTAGCCCTGGCCGGTTTGGCTCAGCGGTTAGAGCGTTGGCCTGCGGTCCTGAGAGACCCGGGTTCGGTTCCCGCTAAGGGCACATACCTCGCAGTTTGTCCCCGGCCCTGGTCGGTTGTGCGGGTGGCAGCCACTCGATGTGTCCCTTTCACATCGATGTTTCTCTCTCTCTCTCTGTTCCTCTCTCCCCCTCCTACTCTACCTGAACAAAAAATGGAAAAATGTCCTCGGGTGAGGATAATAAAAATAAAAAAAAGAAAGTGTTCTTAGTCTTTTACAGGGAACCCTAAGACAGAGGGAGAACCCCCGTCTCCAGAGGTGAATTCCACGTCAGATCATGGGCACCAGCTTCCGACCCACCGTCTAAAGGAACCAACTGCTGTGCCTCTTCGGTTCGCCGAGGTGTGCCCGAGGCGGGCGCTCACCGTGCGTCCTTCCGGCCACTGCTGAGCAAGAACCACTCCAAGACACGGCTCCGTTCTGCTGGAGCACCTTCTCTCAAGGTGCCTCTCCATCCCTGCCACGCTCTCTCCCTCGTCTGAAAGGCAGTGGCCCCACTCCGTTCCCCCCAATATGTGCAATAAGTTAAGCGTGAAAATGCCTTGAGTAAGAAACATGGCACAAACATGCCGTGACCCAGATTGTGACGGGTGACTTACATCTGGGGGCACACTCACCGCAAGAACATAACGGAGGGATTTCGTTTTATAAAAGCGTTGGGAGAGGGCACTATTTTGAAAGTGGGCAAGATTCAAGTCGCCGGGGAGGTCAACATTCACACAGATCCACCGAGAAAGCAGCCCCGTCCCGCAGACCAGAGAGCGCGTGGCTCACACCAGGGGCCCCGGAGGTCACCAGGGAAGAGGTGCCTCCCGGGGACAAGATGGGCCCGTTTCCTTTGCGAGGGACACACACATGCACACCTGGCAGCCTTTCGGAGGCCTGGACCATCAGCCTGAATGGGATCTACTCTCCTAAAGACACAAACCAGGGCCTGGCCGTCATCAATGCGCGTGTAAGGAGACAGCCAGGATATGAGAATGTCTCTCTCCGCTGGTTCGTTGACTCATGCATTTCCCAGTTAGCTACAGTGTGCCACACAGAGCGAGCCTGGCCCTCCACGGTCAAGGCGAAGTTCCCAATTCTGATTCTTGGCTTGGGGTGGGGAGGTTCCACGGATCCCCGACGGTCCATCAGCAAGCTTCAGCCCCGGAAACTGCAATCCTACAGGACATGTAAGGGCACCTGGGCATTTTCCCCCCTTGGGAGAAGGCTTCCAAAGAGATTTCAAAATGCTCTGTGATGTTCCCAAAAGATCAAAAGTCATATCCGTAGACAAGTGAGCAGGATCTGTAGTGGCCCTCTTCCCACGTTTCCGGTGTGGTTGACGACACGGTCTGGTCGATTTCCTCTCCGGTTCCGAAATGAATGAACTACAGCCGTGCTCCCCATTGGTCGGCTCCTTTCCGATGATTAAGGACGCGGACCGGGCGAAGCGTCCACGGATTTCACAGCTGAAACGTCTTCACTGTCTCTCAGGTGCAGTCATGATCCTTTCTTATAAGGGAAAAAATCTCCGCAGCACCTGCCTTCACTGCTGATGGAAGCTGCTCATTAACGTGGCCCGAGAGACTTCCTTTTGATGCCGAACTTCCATTTTCTGGAGACAGGGAGCGTCCGGAGCCTGTGGTTAAGTGCGAGTGGTTCTGAGCAACAGCCTGTGTGCTCAGCACAACCTCCCCTCTCCGGGGAGCTGCCATCTCTTCTTCCTTTGCAAAGTCACTGTCCCTTCTCTGGGAGGAGACTCCACACCAAAGTAAGAAAATGCCAGTGGTCAGATGCACCCTAACGCGGTTTAAAACGGACAAGGACTGGAGGAGGGAAGGGAAGGGAAGGAGGAAGGTTAAGGGCGCCGGGGCCTTCACCAATGTGTCTCAGAGGACAGTGTTGTCAGCCAGGCCCCAGAAGCCGGCTGGGCAGGTTTTCCCAGTTGGAGGCTGAACTTGAGGTTAGCGCTGTGATCCTGGACGGCAGCCAGCACCCAGACAGATCAGTTTTGCAGAACAGAAAAAATCCTCCATGTTCAACCTCTGGCAGTTTCTCCGAGGCTTGAAAATCCCCACGGACTGGCAGCTGGTGAAAAGAAAAGGGAGTTTCTTTTTCTCCCCCTTCGGTGGGGACTGAGCTCCGGGCCCCTCGGCCCCTCGGAGGCCAGCACGGGGTGGCTGAGTGTGAATCTGCACAGAGATGCGTGGACGAGCCCCCGGCCGGCCTCCTGGGCCACCGCAGAGGTGATGCCAACGGCATGCTCACAGGTACCTTTCAAAGTCAGAACATGAAACAGAAAACCATCTCCCCATCACTTAGGACAAAAACTTAATGGAACTTTTAAAGGACAGGATTCAGTGTGGAAGAGTGAGACTAATTGTCAAAATTAGCGCGAGTCATCTGCTCTCTGCATAATGGAAGCAAATTACACACACACACAAAGCCGGCAGGCTTCGATGTCGACACACTGGAAGGAGCGAAGTGAAGCTGTCTTTTACGACTGTGGAGAGAAATTATGAGGCAAACAGGGCCCCTTGACAGCTCAGTTTTGTAGGGCGGTACTGACCAAAGACAAACAAAAAATCACGCGAGACCAACAATACACACGTTAACCCTAACTGGGTCAGACGTTCAAGGAGGGTCCCGGTGGTCTGGGCTTGTGGGAAGCAGACACCACTCCGACACAGATACTGTCCACTTTTTTCAATTAATGTTCTCCCTCCAGGTTATCAGAAGACAGCCCGCCTTGGTCATTGCTGTTTCACTCTTTGGGTTTTATGCAAACTCAAGGGCATACTGGCACGAACCAGGCAGCCAAGTGCAAATAATCCACACCTTGGGGAAACAGTTCACTGTTACCCAAGTAAACACAAGCACCTATTAGTCACCCACTCAAAACAGAAATGGCCAACGAGACGAGAGACCAGCCCCCAACGCCAGAAAAGGAAGCACAGCGCCTTCCAAAGCTCATTCTTCAGTAGCGCTGGCTTAGCTGCTCGGCCAGCCAGCCCCGCTGAGCTTCCTGTGCAAAAACAGCCACGTCGTTTCCAAGACACTGATCACCAAAACCTGACATACAGACCCCCCCAGAGGCATCCCATGCGAATACCGCCTTCTCTGGAAAGGCAGCCAAACGATACTCGGCCCTCATTCCTCGGCGTGAAAATACACAAGAATCGGATTAAGACGGTCAGCCAGGCTGGTAGGCACGGACCAGAAGGAAGCGGCCTTGTTTATGTTTTGTTTCGTTTTGTTGTTTTGGCTTCTCACCCAGTCTGCCAGCTACTCATCCCAAGGCGTCGAGATGTTTTCTAAACACACATCTCCGAATCATAATGTGAATTCCATTTACTGAAAGGCGGGGACTTTTCATATAACAAGCGAACCCGCTTAATGACTTACGCTTTTATACCCCAAGCATCCCTCATGCTTCCAATAAGTGGGTATCATCTTCTCTGCATCACCCTATTATTAACATAGTTCCTGCTATGAACATGTATTTCCAATCATGTCATGTTGTTGAAATTCCCCCACTATGATTCTATTTTGAAAACGCTCCAGACAGCTAGAACAGCAATAACAATAGCCAAGAAAACCAACATGCCTTTCCTCTTCCACTAATCAAATTCCCTAATAACCCGGATTTTCTTGGTGTTGAATGCCTTTATAAAGAACAGTGCCTCTCTTGTTTGAATGTCCATTGGTTGTACTTTCACTTTTTTCGATATAAGAGTCATCTACCGGTATTTGGGTATTTACCATGTCTTTTTTGCTAGACTCAAAATAACTTTTATTTCCATTTTTTCTGTCAATAAAAATGGGATTTTTAAAAAATTTATTTTTAATCCTCACCCAAGGACATTCTTGCATTTATCTTCAGATAGAGCAGGAGGGAGGAGGGAGGGAAAGAGAGAAACATCAACGTGAGAGAGACACATCGAGTGGCTGCCACCCGCAGACCCCAACCAGGGCCGGGGACAAACTGCAACCGAGGTACGTGCCCCCTTAGTGGGAACCGAACCTGGGACTCTCTGGACCGCGGGCCAACGCTCTAACTGCCAAGCCAAACCGGCCAGGGCAAAAATGGGATTTTTAAATAAAACTATCCTACCTCTTTCAATGAATCTTCAAGTACTGATTGGTATTTATAAAGTACGACACAGACTCTTATAATACAGAGAAAACACAGTATTTGAAAATAACTGCACCAGAGGAGATTACGACACGCCGAGACTCGGTCCTCTTTCTGCTCTAATTCTCTGATAATGGGCAAAAAATAAGAACACGACACACAGAGTTGCCCTAATGCACCAGTCCCTCTGGAACATCCAGTCTCTACTATTGTGAGTACCGGAAATGTCAGCCGGGCCCAACCCCTCCCCACAAATAGCAATAAGGCATCTGAATTCCATATAACAGGACTGTCATATTGCTGTTGAGTTTACCCACCACCATTTCTTCCTATTTTCTCATAAAAAAGTAAGCTCACTTGAAACTGAATCTCAAGAATCATACACCAGCTATCCCTTAAAATGATTGGCAGTGGCCATCTGAGGCTCTGTCCTTGGCCATGGGGAACAAACCCTCGGACCCTAAGGTAAATGACTCCATGACACAGATTTCTGATAATTATCAGAGAACCCCAGTTGCATAATCCTGATTTCCAGGATGCCAAGTTTTATATTTTTACACTTTAGTCAAGCGCTCAGGGGTTTCCTTGAAATCCACAATTCGTGTTTTACATGTTGCGAATCGGAAAGCAATAGTGCAAAGCTAGATTCTGTTAACGATGTTAAATTTTAAATAAGTCTTTTTTCAAAAGCTTGATGGAGCCAGAAAGACCGTGTTTTTAGGAATCCCGTCATGGACACTTCCAGAGGTTTTTAAATCTGGACCAGTTGCTGTGTAAAGACTGTGTGTGTCAAGTTCAGTTTTGACAGCTACATACCTCTTCCACTCCGACCCACAAACCTGAGGTCGTTGAATCTCGCGACTTGGTTCTTCATGGCCGCGGTAGCGTTTCTCAGTTCCGCTGAATAGTTCTCATCATTGCCGGCCATCACGGTGACCAGAGTACCGTCTGGAACGTCCCCCAGCGCCACCACCTACAAGGGAGAGACGCAGACATCAGGAGGTCAGAAACTTTGATGTTCTCTACGGAACAACTGTTCTAAACTTAAAAGTGCGTGACGGGACCCTTGCGAGTCTGCAAGGGAATAGCAATCCTACGTCAAGCCAAACAACGGGAAAGTTATTCTTGGGGAGATTTACTTTTAATTCCATTATGCACAGCTAAATATACATTTTCAAATCCTAAAACATCCACCTGAGACAGCCACGCGAGGTCACACGGCTCAGCGGGGGCAGGACGGACTAAGCAAGGGCCTGGAAAAGCTAGGTTTTCTCATCCACGCTCAATTCTTCAAGTTGGAAAAACAATGTCTCGTTTCTGGAAGTTTACCACCTAACCCATCTTCCTCCGCTTGTCCAGACCTCCACTGACAGGCCGGAAAGGGCCCACTGTACTTTCGGCGTTTAAACTTATTTCCGCTGAAATTAAATGTGATCGTTATAACTGAACTGCCCCCTTTGCAGTTCGTCCCTGAAACCGCTGCTCGTGTCTACTATCTTGCTGGCCACGAGCAGTCAATTCTGGCATGCAAGGCAAAAAACAGAAAGGTGCTCTTTGCTTCTTACTAATCACAAAATCCACAGACCCCTGAGGAAGAGGGGGGCCCCCCTCTTCTGTCTCCTGTGACTTCAGGAGGGCACCATGTCATACGGTTGTATCTGTGAGTCCCAGAGGTGTGTCAACAATGGACGTCCTCACAGATGACTGAGTCTTCCTCCCACCAGCTGAACTTGAGGAATTTCTTTCATGTAATTGAACAGAAATGGATTTCCTCTCAGAGCTGCCGAAGAAAACTGCTGGATACATATTTTTGATACTCAAGCAATAATAAAGCAGTTATCTCCAAGTAAAATGCCCCGAAGGAGATGGCACGAAGGTGCTCTGTGGAGTCCTATCTATCTCTTGGTCCTCATTTGACCCTCCTAGAAACAATTTTCATGGTCTAAAGACTTATCATTAGCTACATTCCCACTGTTTCGTTTTTTTTCAAGTGATGACAGAATTTCAAATCAAAATGCCCCAAGTTTGACTTGTTCTTGCCATTGCTGGTATTTCTTTATGGTCCTTCCTCCACAGTCGTGAAATCTGTGTTACTCCTCCCAATTATGTATACATAGTTTTGTTTTGTTTTTTGAATCATGATATTAAAGCATACTATAGTGATGACCTCTTCTCCTGTTCCCCATTTATTTTTACCTAATAATTGCTGCCTAATTTTTTGACCAACACCTGTATTTTCAGTCCCCCTTTTCTGTCTGAAAACAAGGTTCATCGGGATGACAGCAAAGCCACGGTTCTCAAAATTCCCCAAAGTCCACGTTCGTGGCCCGCTTAGTCACCACCCCTGCCCCTGTGCTCTGGATGACCAGCTCTTGTTTTCATCTGTCGTGATGCTTCAGCTCTCGGGTTCCAAGGAGCATAACGGAAAAGATCCAACTGCTCCGAGGGGCAGACAGATACCAGGAGCCTCGGCTCTCACGCAATAAGCGGGCACCGTGCTCCCTGTTTACCCCACTTGCACCGACCAATAAGGTCGGGCCTTTTATCTCTCCTTCTAATCCTTTCCATCCAATTGTTGGACATGTTTTCTATAAAGGAGATTTAAAAACACAGCTATTTATTCCCCAAGCACCCTCTAATTAGGTATTTAGTTCCCATTAGAAGTATGTTTGTTGCTGTTTAATTAAGAGCAATAATATGACAATTCCCTTTTGTTTCAAAAACATCACTGAAATAAATCTCCCCGATCAGTCATTTAGTTCGAGTAGCCATTTTCTTCTGTTCCCACAAAATGTGCTTTCTTCTTTTCTGAACAAATTCAGTCTCTTAAAAATTTTCCACTCCCCCCCACTATTTCAGTTCCCTCTGTGAAATTAGCTCAGTGTTGAAATGTCCCCCTTGAACACATATTTCTACTTCCTCATCCCCGTCTCCCTGTGGTGACCCCGCTTCTCAATTTTAATTCAACGTTCAGTAAGCACGAAGGGGCAGGGGCAAGGACATGGTTTTCAGACTGAGCCATGCTTGGCTGGGACAGACTCTGGGAACAGGTTAAAATAAACGCCTCCTGTTTTACAACTACCGGGAGGTTATCCCAAACCACCGTCCTCCTACTGGCTCCTTGGACAGTGCTCCCTGCCTGCGCCTTGCCCACCTGTCCACACCACCCTCCCAGTTAACTGAGACAGCCCACGACACCTTCACCAAGGAGAAACAAGCGGACAGCAGAGTGATCATGGCGGCTAAGCAACAAAACATTGTTGAGGTTGGGATTTGAGACAAAAAGAAAAAAATGAAGAGTTTAACTCCTACCCCTTGGTTTAAAAAAAAAAAAAAATGCAGCAGGAATCAAAGATATTTGGGTGCTCAAAGATCATTTACTGGGCCTTTTATGGATCTTGGAGGGATTTTTGTTTGTTTTTGTTTTTTTCTTTTCACGTAGGGAAGGGGGAGAATATTAAATCCAGAAAAATTACATTAATTTAGATAATGAGTATCATCTAATGATTCACAAGCACACTTAACTAGGTAAAAAAAAATTTTTAATTTAAAACTAACGTGTCTGCTAATTTGAAAGATGTTATAAACCATATAAGAGAATTTTAAAAAAATCTAACTTCAAGCAGAAAAACAAAGCAACTGGAATGAAAAGCTATAAACAGTAGGTGAAGAAACACAAACATTTTCATTGTAGCATAGACCAAACAGGCAAGAAGGGACTTGTCGGCCAAAGGGCATCTCCTATTTTGTTTTACTTCTCTGTTTTTAAAGTATCAGGAAGTTGGGCAAAATATCAACTCTCCTATACAGAGACCTACCCACACTGCTCTTGGCTAGCCTGTTCACAGTTCAAACTGGCATGGAAACCAACTCTAATTAGGCTGAAATTACAGTTACAATTCATTTATTTCAAATCCCTTAATTTTCCAGTGTTTCAAAGAAAGCTATGAAGTGGAACTGAGCCTTCAACCGCGATAACGTTTAACGCAAAGCTCAGGACTGCGATCTCAGACAGAAGCATGACTTCTTTCTTTCTTATGAAAGGAATATTGCTATCAGCATCCAAGGCCTCTGAACCTGCGGAAGGCATGTTCATTCCGTGCCTGTGGATTCTGGCGTACCAGGGCCTACACAAACTGCAGTGTTACCATATGACAAAACATATCGTGGGCCATCCAAACAACTTTTTAGGCTGCTTCTGAAAATAATGGGTAATGTAGCAAATTTAAGATTTTCTCAACGGTCAAATATACATCTCTCTCTCCTACCCTAACAACAACAAAAAAAGAGTGTTTCATGGGAGAAGGGGGGGCACATATTGGGGTCCAGAGTAAGAAATTAGGATGATTGTCATCTATTTTAAGGGAAATCCGTAATTTTAATCTCCCTTTCGTTCCAGAGGTTAAAGCAGAGGACTGACACATAATTTCCCAACACTGCTGAAGAATGACTGAAATGCTCTTTTTATCAATATCATCAGACTTTATCATTGTTTCACATGCTTCCTCCTTATTACAGGGAACATAATAAGTCTTCACCGATCAACTCCTTAAAGAGATTGTTTGAGGCGTATTGAAAACCCAATTTTAAAGTAGCAATTTCTGTGGAAACTGCTTGGGAGGTGGGTGGGCGGTGCAGAGCGAGCCAGGGGAGTGAATCAACGCGTCGCACCCACGTTTGAAGTCGAGTCTGCTTTTATCGCCCCTCTGCGTGCATCCCCTCCTGAAATTTTCGTCTGCTCTCTCAGTTACGCGAGGCGGTCCCAGGAAGAGGCCTCTCTGTGGACTGAGGCGGTGACAGATGTTCATCGAGCGGTCAGGCTCTCCGCTGTCCTCTCCTCTCCCCAAACGCTCTCCAGACCCACCCGAACTTTTGTCAAGAGCTCTATACCTTGATCTTTTAGGAGCCCACAAACCATCACTCAGTGAAACAAATTAGATTTTTAAAAGAGGAGCAAACAGTCAAAAGCCATTTTTAAAAGGAAACCTCGATGGTTATTAAGATTTCTGCTTTTAAAAACCTCCCTGATGGCTCCTAAAAGCAACTGATATAATTTTTTTTTTCATTTTTGTTCAGAAGGAGGTGGCGGCTTAAGGATCGACATGGCTTCCAGTCCTGAAGATTCTCTATTCATCACTTGGGGTCTGGGTGTGGGGCTCCTGGCAGAGGGCAGCTTCAGAAGCGAACCTGGTTTACCCCAAGTGAAGCCACAGATCTCTTAGAGTACTGGGGGCACCTGAGTTTAAATGGCCCTTAGGCTGATTATCGGCCTGTGTGTTTTCATCTGCTCTTATCTGAGATTGACCCCGGGGGGCCCAAAGATGTCATGTCCCCTCTCACAAGGGGACTCCGTATTCTCTTCAAGCAGAGCCTCCTTAAGTAAAGCGATTAAAATCATTTAAAATGGAAATGAGCTCCAAAACAAATCTACATAAATGGAGGAAGGGAAGGGGCTGGTCCACCTTATCCTCATTTCCACGCCCCTCAAAAACTCTGGCTTTCAGAAAACAGAGAGGAACAGGAGGCAATTCTAGAGGCAGAGCCAACAGGACATTTTGTCTTGTTTTAGAAATCATAATCGAAGTTTGGAAGGTGTATGAAGCTTAAAATTAACTCCCACAGCACTTTTAAAAAGCGTGAACATTATTCCTGGTAACTAGACCAGGATCCCACCAAGGCCTGGAACCATAACAAGCTTATATTAAATCGATCTCCTCTTAAAGGGGGACAATTATTTAACCAGATTAAAAAAAAAAAAAAAAAGAGTAGCCAATCTTTACAGCTTTTTTTCACCTGCCTGCCTAAGCCCTTAAAATGATCAGGAAGTGGGTGCGCTGATTGTATTAAAAAGCTAACCCTTGTCAGACCCACCCAAGGCAGACGAACAGAATCCCCGTGGCCGAAATTAAATTCCTGCCGTTCGCTGCCAGAGTGGTGGAGTGGTTGTTTAAAAACTGCCAGGGTTGTTTATATATCCCCGTTGAAGGCCAAGGTTTTTAAAAGCAGCTCAAAGCAAGGGCAAATCAGGGGTTTGAGCTGCTCAGCTGAAGTTGCCTGGTCAATGCCGCCCGGTCCTCAAACACAAACGTGGGCGGATTATACCCCGGATTCCCAAACAGAGCCTGGCCACCTTTCGCTGCCCCGGGCTGGGCTTAATCTAGGTGAGCCAGCGATAACGTTCAGAAGGGTTCCAGGAAAAGAAACTGGATTCACTACTTTTGGCAGAAGCAGGCTAGAGACTTGGAAAAACTTCAAAAACTTTTGCAAACTTAACTATGCCCGCAGTGGACTTTGGACATGTTAATTCCTACAGGGGTGTTAAAGGCGGGATGGGGTGGGGAGCCCTGACGGTCCTCCTTATCAGAGTATTTTCACGGACCTGCAGGTATGAAAGTATCTCTATTTTAATCCCCCATGCTCCCTCAAAAGGAGGCAGAATGGTTTGGGTGTTAAGCCAGTGGTGGGGAGAACAGCCTGGGAACAGTTGCCTGGTTCCCGGCCGGGTTATAACTTTTCCTACTTTGTATCAAAGCTAAAGACCCCCGCTAGGGAGGTCCCGACGCGCCCTCCGTGGGCGTCTTTGGGGGCATCCTGATTTTTGCAGTCTTCCCAAGAGGTAGCCCTGGTGGGCGGAGGCGGGTCCCTTGGAGGGTCGCCACGGCAACGCAGCATCCCCCGTCTCCAGCGCGGGGGGATGGACTAGGGGCCGGACCCGCCCGCCTGGCCGCGGGCCTCCCGGGTCGCCCGGGCCTCGGAAGGCTCCCGCCCGCCCGTCCTCCCGCCACCCTCTCCGGGCCGAGTACCTTGAAAGCGATGGGCAGGGTCTTGTTGCAGCGCCAGTGCGTGGGCAGCACGGAGCAGAGGAAGTTGGGGCTGTCGGTGCGCACCAGCTCGCCCGGGTGGTCGGCCAGCACCTCCACCATGCTGCGGTCGCCGCTCCTCAGCTTGCCGGCCAGGGCGGCGCCGGCGTCCGGAGCGCCCAGCGGCAGCGCCTCGCTCATCTTGCCCGGGCTCAGCGCGGTGGAAGGCGGCGTGAAGCGGCGGCTCGTGCTGGCATCTACGGGGATACGCATCACAACAAGCCTATTGAGTGAGGACCCTGCAAACAGCTCCTACCAGAGGGCGACAGGGGCGCGGATCTTCAGCAAGCAGCTCCCGGGAGACCAACATACAAGTCCAGGGGCCTTTATTGCTGCGGGGGGTTGGGGGAGGGGGCTGACTTAAGTTACTAACAGTCCTGGAGGGGGAAAGTTCTAGTTACGCTGCCGACGGGAGCCCAGACCCGGGCAGGGCTCCCAGCATCCGACCACTTAGTGCTTTAAAAGGGGGGCTAGCAGAATCCAGAGCCAAATGCCAAAAGAGACTATCTTCTTCCGAGTCGTGCTTTGAGAGTTTAAGCTGAGTCTTTGGCTGTGACAAAAGTTCCGGGAGGCAAAATTCCCATACACTTCCTAAAATATTTATGCGGAGAGAAAAAGGACCAGCAAACACATAATTTGGAAGTTCCAGTAGTTAATCGCCTGTCAGCTTTTCCAGGTGAGTTTTGTCTAAAGTCCCAACACAACAGAAAATACAGGGTTGTCTTCCATAAACATCGCCACTTCTATCATGCAAAACTGGCTTCAGTCCTCCAAAGCAAGAACTGCGACTTCCAAAGGTCGTGCCGGTAATGTATGTGCATATATATACACATATAAATATATATACATATGCTCTACTTCATAAAATATTTACAATACAATCTGTAGAGAATTTAAACACAACAGAAATCCATTAATGTTCGCTGCAGATATATATACGTGTATATATATATATATATTTTAAGTAGCCTTGAAAATCAGCTTCAGTAGTTGGAGAAGGGCTGGGCTAGAAATACTTGTCATGGTCTCTCAATAAATTCTGGCAAAATGCTCAGTTCAGGAAATTCAGCTTTTCAATGAAAAGCTAATCTTAAAAAAAAAAAGTCCAAGTTGAAGATACTCAGGGTACAGCTCTCCACATCTGAGAACTCGGGCTTGGGGATGTTGGTTACGTTTGTGGCTGATCCTGTGGTTTGGTAGAAGTTGAACTGCAGCGGAGTCACACGCACGCTGACACGCACTCTTCCGAAGCCAGCCACTGTCTACATGGACTCGGTGAGTCAGCCCCAGACTTGGGCAGTAGCGAGCCGATCTTCCTCTAACGTCGCCCCAGCGCCAGTCGGTTAACTGCCGGGACGCGCAATACCCACGATCACCTTGTAACCGCAGCAGGTGGAGCGGGCCTTCCGAGGAGGCACCGCAGCGCAGAACGAAACAGTCGGGGCCGCTCGAATTACCCAAGCACACACTCCCACGCACACTGCCACGCACAGGCAACGTCAAGGCTCGCCTCGAAACACAGCGCACTTTCTCCTGCAGTTGTCAAAGGAAACAACCGGGAAAAGTTCACAGCCAGGAAAGAAGTTGAACCATCCAGCCAAGAAACCAGTTCATTCAAATGTAAGAAAGAAAGGGAAAAAAAAAATCGAAGCTCCAACGCAGGTCAAGGAGCAGCAGCAAAGGTTGACTTTCTTCCAGCGTCCCCAGGAGCCCCGGGAAGAGGTGCCTGCCGGCGTAGGGCCGGGCAGCGTGGTGCCCTGGCTGGGTCCGGCCGCAGGGCGCCCGTCCCGCCTGCGCCCGCTGGCTCTATGAATGAGAGTGCCTGGAAATGAACGTGCTTTTACTGTAAGCCCGGCCCGAGGAATTCCATTCCCTCAGCTCGTTTGCATAGGGGCGGCGGCGGGCCAATCACAGGCCTTTCCGGTATCAACCAGGGCGCGGCTCGCCGCCGCGGGCTCCTGGAATTGGCCCGCGCGCCCCCGCCGCCGCCGCTGCGCGCTACTGTACGCAGCCGGGGTGGAGAGTCAGCAGCCGCCGCGGCCATCCGGCGCTCCCCGCGCTCCCCGCGCACCCGCATCCACGCACACACACGCACAGGCTCACACGCTCCCCGAGGCCCCGCCCCGCTGCAGACCGCGGCCCTGCGGCTTTGCACAAACGCACTGTTGCGCGGCCGTGGGCCATGGGGTTGCGGAGCGCAGTGGCGTCACTGGCGGCCGCGGTCCGGGGACCAAGGAGGTGGATGGAAGAGGAGGCCGGCAGGCAGGGAGAACTCGGGCCGCGAGCTGCCCCCGGAGCGGCCCAGCCAGGAGACCAGCGAGAGGGAAACGCCCTGCGCACCCTGGACATACAGCGGCCCGCGCGAGGCTCCCGGGACCGGAGTTCTCGGGCGACCCCAGCTCCTACGCGGGTGCCCACTGCCGAGCCTCCGCTTCCCCGGCGTGGGTGCGACTCGATCACGAGGGGACCGGAGGGCCGGGGGCCTGGGCGCAGAGCGGCTCTGCGCGGCCGCAAGGCTCTGTTGGCAGCGGCAAATGAGTGGCGCTGATTCATTTAATGAGGCCAGACGGTTCTCGGTCTCCACAACATGGTTTTTGTTTTTAGTTTTCTCTCTTGGCTTCTTTTCTTTTAATTGGTGTTTTCGCCGCGTCTGGGCTGCGGCTTAAATGCGCAGCGCGCCTCGCTCGGGCTGAGTGCGCTTAGCAGCGAGCAAAGGGGTTTCCCAGTCAGACCCCAAAGAACTTGCTACTGGAAAGAAAGTTGAAAGCATCCGCTGGACTCGCTGTGGTCCTCGGAGCGCGGCTCCCCCATGGGCGGCGCGAAAGCCTTTTGCTGGGCCGGGATCGCCGGAGCCCCGCACCCACCTCCGGCTCCCCGGAAATGGCCCGGCTACTCTGCCCGCCTTTGCGCGCGCGGCCGCGGGGCCGAACCCACCCCGGCTTTGCGCGCGGGCGGGAACTTTCCGCTGTGCCCGGCGCCGCGGGCATTGCGCGTAGCTTAGTGGGACCCGCCCCGGCGCATTGTCCCCGGCACGGAGGGTCTCTCCCTCCTCTGGGGAGTATCCCTCACCTCCAGGCAGGGCGCTCACTTGGAGCCCATCCCCACCGGTCCCACGGAGCCCTCAACTTCAGCTCCCTCGAGATGGGGTCCCTCACCCACCCCGCGGGCCCCTCCTTCCCGCCGTCTCCCGCCCCTCACGGACCCGCGCTGGGAGGCTGCCGCCGCCCCGCACTCTCCTCGAGTCCGCCGCTGAGGTCTGCCTGACGGAGGCAGGGGCCGTGGAGGCCGCCCAGGCTGCTTCCCCTTCCCCAGGACCAGCGAGGCCAGGCGGGCTGAGCGGAGCGGTCCGAGGACGGCGCCGCGGGCCGCGAGCGGACGCCAGGGGGCAGCAGCCGTCCTCGCTCGCCGCCCGGGCCGCCAGGCCGCCGCAGTGCACCCGGGACCGCCCCCGACGGCGCCCGGTTCTGCCGGCCCTCGCGGCCTTGGGTAGCTCTTGTAAGAAGTTCAGTTTGGGGAGGATCGACAGGAAACGGCCGAAGGAGCTAACCTGAGTGGCCACTTCCCGCCTCGCTGCCCAGCCGCGGAGCTGGTGGCGCGGGAACCCCGGGGCAGGGGTCCCTGCTGTCCCGACTGACCCGCGTCCGGTCTCTTCCCGAAACCCCTTTGCCTAGACACCGCGGTCGGCCCGCCCCAGGCCGTCAGTGAGCCAGGCGTCCCCGGAAACCTGCCTGCCTGCCGCGCCTCCCCCCAGCTGGCTGTCCCCTTGCTCCGGAAAACCAGGGACGCTCGGGGAACTGCCACACCAGCTGCATGTGGTTTGTTTGGCTGGGCCTGGGGTCTCAGAGACAAACCTTCTTTGTATTTTTCTTTAAAAACTATTTCGAAGACCCTCCACTTCAGGTATTAACACCACCCAAACGTCCACCCTACGTGGGCCAAGTAATTCCAAATGCTGCACAGTCACCAAACCGCCGGGCTGCCGCGGGTGCCCGGGTTCGGCGCTGCCCGCCCAGGAGCGACTTCCGGGCGAGTGAAAAAACCTGTTGTCCAGGCTTACATGCATTTTCCTCCGACCACTCCGAGAGCTCCCGGGGCCCCCATCAAGTGCATCTCAGGGACCCGCGGGGGGGGGGTGCGGCCCAGTAGTGCAGCGGAGGCAAAAATGGGCTCCGATTAGGGGGAGAGCGGATTGGGGTGACTCGCGCCTCAGAAAGGGCAGGGGAGCTCCTGGCTCGGGGCTTCGGGTCGGGCTCTCTGCCGAAGCCTCCCCGCGGGCAGGTTCCCTGCCTTGGTAAGAAGAGAGGTTCAGGGATAGATGCTCCCAAGTGTAGCCTTTTAAGGCAGCACCGTGGGCGCTGCTTACCTAGGAGTCTCAACCAGTACATCCCAGTTCGGAACGCCCCGGACGCCCATCGGGGCATGGAAAGCCTTTTCTGAAATATTCGAAATCCGGCGGGGCACTTGGGGTCCCCGGGACGTGCGCCCGCTACAACTGCGCTGCAGGGCGCACACCTGAAACCCAGGAACCGAACAACCCCCGCGCCTTCCTTGTGGAGGGACTAAAAGGAATGGAAAGCGGGCGGCATGGGACTCGGCTCTGGGGTACAGGGACCCCTTCGTGTGAAGGGCTTTTTACGGAGCTTATAAAATTCAGTGACATCATGTACGAAATGAAGAACTTTCTACCGAGAGCGCTCATTTCGGAAGCGATATAGAATTTCCCCTCTCTGCCTCTCTCAGGGATAAAGGAAGGAAAACATCACCACCCTCCTAGTGTTCCCCTGGGCTAACCCTGAAATTTCTTTTCGCCATAATCCAAATTACAACAAGGCGATTCGTTGGGCGGATGCTACGTGATAGATTCTTCCCAATTTGCTCGGTGGGGGAAATTTCAAAAACGCCCATAGCTGGAATGAAATGTGAGTTTTCACGGTGAATTTTAAAAGTATTTGGTTGGTTGAAAGGAAAATAACAATTTTCCCTGGAAAACGGGGACGTATTTCTTCCACAACTTTTGTAACTATAGGTGGTCTCAGAAAATCCTGAAATATTTTTATGTTTTTCCTTTTCAAAAAATAAAAAATAAAATTGGGATTGGAATCTTAACCATTCTCGTAAACACAAACCCCCACTGTCCCTTCCCCCAGCTCTATATTTCTAAAATTGCATTTCTAAAAATTTAACATTTCTTAAAGAATGATTTCTATTTTCAGTACCATTTATATGAAAATAAAAGATGTATTTTGCTAGCCGTTCTGAACCAAATTGCTGCAGTTGGTACCAATGTCACAGGGAAGGGGAACCTTCAGAGGAAGAGGAACTTGGTAACGTATATACAAGTAACCTGCTCTACACACCATCCAGTTTTCAACATTGGAATTTAATTAAACAATGGCTTCCCTCTGGAGGGGCTTTGAGATTATTTCCCTTTTGAAATCTAATTCCCTAGTTGTCCCACTACGTCTTCCTCCCTGGGAGTGTCCCCATGGGATAGCGTGGTGGACGTGTGACTCTTTAACTTGCTGACTCAGTTGTGCAGCTTGGGCAAGGGGGTAAAACTGAGAAATTTCAAGACTAATCTCTTGCAGAGTTAGGGATGCTTAGCAAACCTTTCACCCTCGTGGAAAGTTTGCATGGCCACTTTCATCACAGAGGTGACAAAGGGGGTTACAGCCGCTGGAAGCCAAGCGCTGTGTTTTCGGGCAGGTAGTCATTTAATGACAGCAGAATGCCCCGTGGTGAGTGCAGCTCTGAGGGCGTCACTTAAGGTCTTACTGGGACGTTTTATATGGTTGGACATTAACAACAGAGAACAACAGCTTTTAAGTATTTTTGAATCAGCAAAAAAAAAAAAAAAAAAAAAGCCTTAACTATTTGGTTAACTTATGTCATATGTTATTTATAGGGTACTTAGATAAAAATCATACATAGGCATATATATGAAGGCACGTTTTATAAAAATATAACTGGGAATCCAATGTACCATGAATGTCTCTAGATGGAGTCATTCCCTGTACACATTCTGAAAGCACAGGAAAGAAAAAATAAAAATAATTGTGTGACTACACTGGCAGCAAACGCGAAATTGACCAATAGTTGATGAATTTCATGCTAATTGCCGCAAGTGCTAGTATGAAAACTAAGTGCCCCTCTAATTCTTTTGTTAGCTCATTGCCTCCTACACTTGTTAGCACTGGAGATTTGTTATAGCACTGTTGTCCAGCTTTGGCACAAAAGTAGCTTAAAACAGTAAGTCAGCAAATGGAAAATGAACTGTTGGAGATGCACATGGTTTCTTACGTGCCTGCCACCAATGTTTTCCCCTCCTGGCTAGTGCTGACTCTATTGTTCATAGAATCACCTGTGATTTATCTAATGAGCATTGCAAACACATTTGGAGGAGGGTACAGGAGTGACTTAGAATGCAAGGTGAAATCACAGAAAAACATGTAACGATCTGTAATACCGCAGAGGCTAAATGCAAGAAGTAAAAAAAAAAAAAAAAAGCACATTTTTTAAAGTGATGAAAAGAAACAATTTGGAAACACCTTAGGGAAGAAATATACTGCTGGCTGACGATTATGCTCATTTACTTCTAGTGATAGGGCGTTTTAGAAACGGTCCTTCCTTGCTTGCTTGCTTTCCTGCCCTTTGCTAGGAGGGCAGAGGATTCGTATTGAAACCGCTCATTCTTAACAGATGATATCAATTCTTATTGAGGATAATTGTCACAGGATCATTTCCAAATATGAAGCACTTGCTACACTGCTGTGTGTCGTTATAGCTAAATCAGGAGGGACAGTAGGAAGCGGCTGCTCCCGGCCTGGAAGAGCGACACAGAATGTTCCGCATTGGAAATGCCTGTCAGCTTCCCACGCTGATGATGGTGGGCGCGCCGTCATCAACATGGAAGAAACACCACTTTTCAAAGCCCTAGAATTTGAGCATTTCAAATGCTGCAGACCAAAAGCTTTCAACTCCACTCCACAATATTAGTATAATGTAGCTTTAAAAAAAAAAAAAAAAACCTTTAAAGCTAAGAAAGGAGGTAATTATTTCAGATTTCCAGACGCTGTTTAAATAGGCAGGAGAACGAGATTTGCAGCTCCTTGGTCTTATATTTTTGCCAAAGCAAAAAAAAAAAAAGTGACTAAAATAATGAGGGGTTCTGAAGGACTGCCCTGTGATGAAAGATTAAAGGAATTAAATATGGATAGTCTCAAAGACGCATCCTAGAAAAACCAAGACTGTGGTTTACATGTACCTAAAATGACTCCATAAAGATGACAAACAAACAAGAGGGCAGGGAGAGAATCTTGTGCACTGACCGGGGTGAGGTCCAAGTAGCCAGTGCACCTTGACGTTAGCAAGTCCAGTTTTAATAGGCATGGCGCGGGGCAGGGATCCACACCCGCACGGACCGGGCAGCTGCCTTTATTTCTGGTAAAGACACCCAGCAGAATCAACCATCCCGGACCTAGTTCCACGGAGACCCCAGAAACCTCTCCGTGCCCAAGGGTGAGAAACAGGAGGAGCGGAGTGAAACAGAATTGTTTCCTCTGTGCACCGAATATTCGGTGATTCGGAGAGGGAAGCCAAGATTTCTTTTAAGCCCCAAATCCCAGGCAGAAGTGAGTAGGTTTTGAGCGGTGTGCATGTTGTCTGTTGAAAGCTTTCTTAGTTTGTCCTGCGTCAGCAGCCTGGAAAACACAGCACACATCCTTGAGCTGTGGAGGAGGGGCCGGGGAGGGACAGGTGTCCCTGGGCGAAGTGGCACCTGTGGAGATTAGAAGTGATTTGCCCAAGGAGCTATTAAAGGTGCTGGAACCTGAGCTGTAAGAGGAGAGGTCTGTGTGTTCAGGACAGCGAGGGCAGCACGCGGCTAGCTGGTCCTGCTAGCTGCCCGCCTCCCTCCGTCCCTCCGTCCCTCCGTCCCTCCGTCCCTCCGTCCCTCCGTCCCTCCGTCCGTCTTTCACATCCCCTCTCCTTGAATGCTACTGTATTCCAGGCAGTGGCCAGAATGCTTTATATACCATTTCTGATTTCATCCTTGCGACAATACCATTTCCACCTCCATTTTGCAGACCAGGAACCTGATTCTTGGAGAGTTTTGGAAACGAGTTCGCCTCACTCTCTACGCGCGCACGCACACGCGTGTCCACATACGGGTCTGCATGCGTGATGAGCTATGTTCCTTTGTGATCACAACTATGTATTTCTGTGGGTGACCTTTGTAGAGTTCTGAACAGTTAAACTCTGATCTCATCTTTGACTTGTATTCGCCCGTCTCATGGTCTGCATCGGAAAGCATCCCTGGAATTCTTCACCACGCGACTCTCAGATCCTTAGGAGTCGTGTCCTGAGGTTATTTCCGGCGATCCACAGAGCTGGAGGAGCTGGTCAAGGTCCGTTTGGCTGAGAGGCTTTTGAATTCATAATGGATATAAAATGGCTTTCCATTCTTTTCCCGCCTCTAGTCTTTCCAAACGGCACCTCAAGAACATTCCCAGATATGAAGTATCTGCTTTTCCTCCCTTCAGCATCCCTCGGATGCTGCCTGTGTACCGGGCAGAGTGCCAGGCTCGTGGGTAACAAAGGCCCAACCCATGGGAGCAACGGCGTGTCCTGGCTGCTGACGGACACACAGGTGCAGGGTGCAGGGAGGTGGTGAAAGACACAGAAGGAAGAGGGGAGGGCCCCCAGGTGGGCTCAGGGAGATGTCCTTCCTGGCGGAGGTGTTCCCTGACAGGCTCTTGGAGGTCCGGTAGGCTTGCCAGGCGGCTGGGGAGGTTGACGGAAGGGCTTAGGGAGGTGGGAAGCAGCTGGAGGAGAAGGACCCAGGAAGAAGCATCAGCGTGAGGAAGCCATGAACTCGTGAAACATCCGCGTGTCAGTTCTGGTCTGGCTGAGCACAGGTTTGGCACGGGCTGGGGGGCGGCAGCTCACAGATAACACTCGCTGGCAGGCGCGGGCACAGGCGCGGACACAACCCGAAGAAACTGGAACATCAGCCCGAGGGCAATGGGTTCACCAGACGCTTCACATCTGGGACATAACGTAACTCACATGGAGCTCAGGAAGGTCAGCCGTCGGAGGTGGGTGGTGGGTGAATGGGAGGGACAGAGCATCTGTTACCGTGGAAACATGCAGATGAGAGGGGAGAGGGCGGGGAGAGATGGGTAGCCCACTGGTGGCCCAGGTGCCCCTGATGCAGTGAAGACTGGAAGAAGGTGGGGGTGGACGTCGGGCTCAGCGGGGATGTCAGTGCAGATGGGACAGTCGGGGTTCTGGGCAGAGGGCTGGGGTGGTTGAGGGTCCTCACGTACCGGCCACAGTCTCGGATTCTCTAGGGAATGTGTCGTGGACAGGAGAGCATTGCCAGAGTCTCAGATGATCGACATTTCAGGGAGGTCAGAAGAGGGAACACTGAGGGGACCGCGTTAGGGTGAGCAAGAGGAGAAAACAGTCTGAAACACCACAGGAAGATGAGAGTTTGGAGGGGAAAGGCCTGTCTCCGAGGATGAGGACAGAGAAGACGGCATTCACTTTGCCTCCAGGGGAGCCGTGTCACCTTTTCCAGAGGAGAGCCCTTGGGGCCGAGGATGGCAAAGCGAATGGGATGGAGGGCAGGAGAGGGAGGTGCTTGCTGGAGGGAGGGAGCGGGGTGCTGTGGCGGGGGGGGGGGGGCTCACCTTTGAGAGGTGTGTGTGTGTTTCTGATGGAAGACACATGAGAAAATGAACGTTTCCCATGTGCATTTCACCGACAATCAAACTCAGCCCCCATCTCTCACCAGCGTCCCTCCCCACTGTTCCCCCAGTGTCCCGACTGGGATCCCTGGATTCACCGGTGACCTCATCCAGTCGCTGCCAAGCCCTCGTTTCGGTGTCTTTGTTATCATTCACCGCCCCTTTCCATCCCCCTGCCACCATTCTGGCTCAGCTCTCACGATTTCTCACCAGGTCTCCTGCCGAGGGATTTGCACGGATTTCCCGTGGCCCCTTCAGGCTCCTCTCCCACCCCGCAGTCGGCAGCCTCCGCCACGTCTGAGTTTCCCTGCGCGTCTGGACTTCACGTCCAGGTCTTTGCACGGTCCTGCAGGATTGGGGCTCCCCTCCCTGGCCCCGTCTTGGAGAAGGTCGGATCCTCCGCCTCGGGTGGCATTTTCTCGAAGGACCAACTGTATTCTTCGTCATGGCCCCACACCTTCTGCGTGACCCTCCCCCCTGCTGTGTGTGATAGCTGGGGAGTGAGCCGGGGAGTGGGCTGGGGCAGGATGAAGTGATGAAACCAACCCAGGATTCGACGTGCGGCCACATTCCTGAAAGTTAACACTCTTGGTCCCTTTCCACACCCTCGCTCACCCTTGACCGTAAATGACTGAATCGCTCGGATCCTCGCTCTGGGAACAGAAACCAGGCGTCGCAGGCAGGATCCTGAAACGGGCCCCAAATTTTCCGTCCGAGTCGCTGGGACTGTGGATACCATGCAAGATCATCCCTTGGTCATGCTACGTGGCGAAAAGGATTTTCCCGACGTAATGTAGGTGACGAATCAATTGGTTTTGAGTCAACCAGAGGGGAGATGATCCCAGCGAGCCCGATGTGGTCACACGAGACTTTGCAACGTGAAGAGTTCTCTCAGGCCGGGGCAGAGATGAGCTCAGAGATCCCACGGCCGGCACTTTTGGCTGGAAGTCAGAGGGCACCATGTGCGAGGATGGGACAGCAGCCTCCCTAGGTGACCCCTGGCTGACAACCAGCGAGGAAACCCCATCCTGCAGCCTCGTGGGAACAATTCCGCCAGCAGCCTGAAGGAGCCTGGGAGTGCATCCCCCCAACGCCTCCAGCTAAGAGCGCAGCCAACACTGATGCTGGGCCGAGTCGGGGAGGCAGGAACCCAGTGGAGCCCGGCTGGACCTTTGCCCTACAGAACTGTGAGCTAATCAATGGATGTGGTTTCAGCTGCTAAAATGGTGGCACTTTGCTAGTTGGGCATCAGTGGGAAACTTGTACGCTTAGC